TCTCTCATATCTTCAATGCCTCCATTTTACAAATTGGAATACTTTTTGCAGGTTGCAAACTTGTAAAGATTACATTATATAATGCCTGTTATTAGAATGCTTAGCACACCAGGCACATAAGAGGTGCTCAGCCAATGCCGCATTTCATCTATAAATCCTACTTACTTCTAAAGGCTGAAGGCAGTTCCATACAATATCCTCCCTAACTTCTCTCCTTTTTTCCAGTTTCACTCCACCCAATACCACTCAGAGCCTACTTAGTTGTTCTCAAATTGTTTTATATTCTGGCATTTTACGTTCATTCAACAAATATGTAGTAAATGCAAACTATGTTTTCAGACCCTGTACTAAACTCTGCGTATAAAATAGTAAAGAAAACAGATGTGTTTCTGCCCTCAAGGAGCTTTCTTTACTATTTTTAAGCAAGAAGCAGATCACATATCAGTAACATACAGATACTTGTACAGTAATAAGTGGTGGTAAATGCGCGAATGCGAAGACTAGGTTGCAATGTGGATGACTATATTTGACTAGGATTGTGAAAGACATTCTCCTTGGAGTAACATTTAAGCACAGATGTGAAGGATGAGAAAGAGCCAATCATATAAAGAAGAAAAAATAACATTTCATAGGGAGAGAACAGGTGTGAACAACTAGAAAAGCCAGCGTGGCTGGAATACAATGAGCAAAATGTCATGGCGTGAGTTGAGGTTGGGAGGTAAGCGTGAACCAGACCACACAGAGCCTTCGATGTAGGTTGGACCCTCCCAGAAGCAAGTCCTGAGACAAGTTTGAGCAGCCACAGTTTATTTAGAAGGTATGGCAGTAGGACAGAGAAAAAAGAAAATGAAGCCAATAAAAGGTGTGTCGTTGAACAGGCCACACCTGCGCCTCAATCCCCCTGAGAAACTCCAAAAGGTGGTATATGTAGAACAGGCACCCAGGAGGCCAGGAAGCTGGGCTCTTTTGTTTTTCAATGTATAATTTCATTCCTTTTAAAATTGTAATTGTACATATTTATGGAGTACAATTTGATGTGTCAATGCATGTCTGTGTTGTAAAATGATCAAATCAGGATATCCAGCATATCCATCACCTTATGCATGTATTATTTCTTTGTGATAAGGGCATTCAGAAGTCCCCCTTCTAGCTATTTTGTAATATATAATACCCTGCTGTCAACCAACTTCGCCCCACTGTGGTTCCTCAGAAAATTAAATATACAACTACCATGTGATCCAGCAATCCCACTGATGGATACATATTCAAAGGAAAGGAAAACAGTATATTGAAGACATATCTATACGTCCCTATTTATTTCAGTGCTATTTACAAAAGCCAAGATATGGAATCAACCTAAGTATCCAACAGCAAATGAATAAAGAAAATGTGGTATATATACGCAATGAAATACTATTCACCCATTAAAAAAATGCTGTCATTTGTGACATTATGGATGGACATGAGCTCATTATTAACCAAATCCCTTCACTGTCGGGCATTAACTCTCTGTTACTTACAGCTGACCCTGTGCGGGATTAGCATATTCATGGCCAGAAAAACAAGCCCAAGAGCAGAAAGTTACAGGTGTACACAGAAAACTGCCTTCAAATGTAGAGATCAGTGCTAAGGGAGCCAGGCACAGTGGCTCATGCCTGTAATCCCGGCACTTTGGGAGGCCAAGGCAGGCGGATCACCTGAAGTCAGGAGTTTGAGACCAGCCTGACCAACATATAGTGAAACCCCGTCTCTACCAAAAATATAAAAGTTAGCTGGGCATGGTGGCACATGCCTGTAGTCCCAGCTAGTTGGGAAGTTGAGGCAGGAGAATCGCTTGAACCCATGAGGTGGAGGTTGCAGTTAGCTGAGATCGCACCACTGCACTCCAGCCCGGGCCACAGAGCAAGATCCCACCTCTCAAAAAAAAAAAAAAAAAAGGCTAAGGGGATGGGATGGGGAATGAAAGAACCCTATTGAACACGGTATGCTAATTATAATAGAGAGCCACTGAAGGATTTTAGCAGGAGTATGATGTGATGTAGTTCAGGTTGTTAGTTTTGGTTGCCCAGGTACTTTATAAGATCCTTGAGAACAAAGCACATACTTTACATTTCTTTAGCACTAACCACAGCAATGACACAGTGCAGTTTACAGAGGACGTACTGAATAATTGTGTTGACTGTCCAGGAGAAAAAGCATATGATGAATCCAAGTTAACTGGACCAAAAACACACCAAATTAAAACTTTTACCTATAAAAATATTCAGCATCGCTTCCTCTTTTTTAATTAGAAATTGAGATGGTATCTCATTATGTTGCCTAAGCTGGTCTCAAACTCCTTGGCTCAAATGATCCTCCCATCTGTGCCTCCTGAAGTGCTGGGACTACAGGGACAAGCCACCACTCTCGGCCTATCATCACTTTCTACTAACTCTCTTAAAGTAGCCAGATGGTGCATGGACCACCTTGGTATCCAGGGAGTTAGCTGTTATCTGGACTTTCTAAAACTATTGGTTTTAGAAAGAATTCAACCATTGGATGAGAGAATAAAGCCCGATTCACTTATTTTGTTTTTTATTTGTCTTTTTTTTTTTTTTTTTCTGAGATGACTCTTACTCTCTCACCCAGGCTGGAGTGCAGTGGTGTGATCTTGGCTCACTGCGACCACACCTCTTGGGTTCAAGTGATTCTCATGCCTCAGCCTCCTGAGTAGCTGGGAGTACAGGCGCATGCCACCACACCCAGTTAATTTTTGTATTTTTAGTAGAGATAGGGTTTCACCATGTTGGTCAGACTGTCTGGAACTCCTGACCTCAAGTGATCCACCTGCCTCCACCTCCCAAAGTGCTGGGATTACAGGCATGAGCCACTGCGCCTGGCCAAAATTTTATTTTTTATTTTACTTTTTTAGAGATGGGGGTTCTCACTATGTTGCCCAGGTTGATTTTGAACTCCTGGGCTCAAGTGATCCTCCCATCTCAGCCTCCCAAAGTGCTGGAATTACAGGTGTGAGCCACCATGCCTGGCCCAAGCCTCTCTTACTCTCAGAAGAACAGAGTAATATTGTGGACGAAAGCACTGACTTTGGAGTCCCACCCAGAGCAGACAGGGCTTTGATCTTTAGCAATTATGGGGCCTTGAGCAAGTGACTCAAGCTCATTAATCCTCAGTTCCTCATCGGTAACATGGACATAGTAACAATGGCATTTACTTCAAAAAGGTTAGTGTAAAGGTTAAATAAAATAATACTCTCTGCCCAGTATAGAATTAGCATTCATCATATATTATCATTAATCCAATATTTTTACTTCACTTAGAGTTATTGTTTATTTTATTTTATTTCATTTTTTTCTTTTTTTTGACATTGCCTTTTTCCACATGCTCTAACATTTTAGGTTATTCTGATAGGTTTTCTGGAATACAGCTGTAGATTTACTATTAAGTTTAGGCCAGAACAGCTGTGGTGGCTCACACTTGTGATCCCAGCACTTCGTGAGGCCAAGGCAGGAGGATCACTTGAGCCCAGGAGTTTGAGACTAGCCTGGGCAACGTAGTGAGAACCTGTCTCTATTAACAAGAGAAGAAGTTTTGGCTAGACCCAAACTTTGGAGGACCCTCTTGTCTGCCTCCACTTGTTTCTCTAAGCCTATTCTGCGGCGGGGAAACATCTTTATTTCCAACAGACAATTCTTTCCAGAAGTAGACTTTCCCCCAGGAAAACCTGTTTGTGGAATGAACAGAAGTGTGTGAGATGCCCCCGTGTGGCCTTCCCACCGTCTGCCTTGCTCTTGTCACTGATGCTGTCTCTGATCCACCTGCTCCCCGGAGACTCCAGACCCAGGCGTGCAATATCTTTACTGAGCACCTTTACAGGCTGCAGCAAAAGGCCTGACCAGCCGGCACTGGACTGAACCGAGCGGCACTTGAGTATTCGTCTTTTCTCATTTGCATTTTTTCCTGATTTTGTTGAGATATGTTCTCTTTGTGGAAATTTGGAAAATGTATTAAAGTTTTAAAAAGCAGGAAAATAAAGCTCTTTAAAAACCACTCTAGGCCGGGAGCAGTGGCTCACGCCTGTAATCCCAGCACTTTGGGAGGCCGAGTGGGGTGGATCACGAGGTCAGGAGATCCAGACCATCCTGACTAACACGGTGAAACTCCGTCTCTACTAAAAATATTAAAAATTAGCCGGGAGTGGTGGCGGGCGCCTGTAGTCCCAGCTACTCGGGAGGCTGAGGCAAGAGAATGGCGTGAACCCGGGAGGCGGAGCTTGCAGTGAGCTGAGATCGGGCCACTGCACTCCAGCCTGGGCGACAGTGAGAGACTCCGTCTCAAAATAAAATAATAAAATAAAATAACCATTCTAGGATATGGTTCTATATTTGTCCAACACGTGTTTAGCTGAATTTTTTTTAAAAAAACAACCTTACAATCAAGTGCTTTCATATTGTATCTGAACTAAAACTCTTTACAATGCATTCTCCTGTTTTTCTTGCTCTGGCCTATATGCGAATAGAAACTGGGGAGTACTATTCTCTGCCTTCGGAGTGTAGATGTTTGTCCACCTTTGTATCTCCATTTCCAGGACACTCAAAAGAGCCGTCTCCCTCAACAGAGGGAGCCAATAGGCTGGCAAGAACAGCAATTCCCAGATCAAAGTCAAAATGACGCCACGGCTGGGGTCAGAAGGGCGGGTACAAACCCAGAGCTGGGTAAAGACCAACAGCCGGTTGGTGCCTATGTAAGGTGAGGAGCTGTCAATTCATTCATCTCCTAATGAACTGGCATGCTGGAGGATTTGATGCTGTTGCCTTCTCACGGCAATTATGAATTCAGCTTGCAAAGGCAGCTTCAATTCCCTGACTCACGGGTAGTCTTCCAGCCACAGCCTTGTCTAGTTGGGAACAGACATTCATGCAAATTGAGAGCAGTGAGTGACTTTTTGAGCGAATCTAAATAAAGCTCTGAAACCCAGCAGCTGCAGGAAATGCTCATCTTACCTCACTTGATTAGAACGCCTTTCGGGTTGCTAGGTCAGGAACTTCTAGGAAAGCCGCGGATGAGCTGTTGCTGTTCTACTGAGGGGTTCAAATCAGCTGAGTCCAGGAGTCAGAAAGTGGAAACTGGGGCTTCTCAGCTCCACATCCTGAAACGAAATAAATATATTACACTTATGTATTAAATAATAAAATTACATATTCTACGTTGCTGAGAAATGATGGAGCAGAAGCCGGTGGATGACGTACTTGGGATGCCGAGGAAAGACTCACCGGTGTTCGCAGGAGGGTGCTGGCAGGTGCCTCCCAATGCCAGTTTCAACTCAGGATTTACAGTGGGAACTGGGATATGCTCTTGGGGCTGCATTCAAACAGGAGAAAGCTCGCTGGAAATTGCCCTGGCCAGGGGACAGATTCACAGAGGAGATGAAGTTGGGACAGATTTCTAGCTGTCATTCTGCCTCATTCCTGCTGACAACAACAGCTCCAGGAAGACGTATCTATCTTCGATTTCTCGTGTCTTTCAGACACTCAAAAAGCTCTTCCTTCGTATAAACCCAAGTTTCTCTTATTGTCATTTTACCTCAACTGGTGTTTATTTCCTCCGGACTATAAAATGTCTTGGCACAAGAAAGTTGGTGTAAGATAGTGTGGTAAGCGTGCTGCCGCTGGAATCAGACAAACTTGAGCTTCAGTCTCAGATTCTCCACTTGTTAGCCATGTGACTAGGCCAACTTTACCTGGCCACCCTGCACTTCAGTTTCTTCCTAAGTGAAATAGGCATAACAATAACACATACCTCTTAGAGCTGTTGTGAGGATTAAATGAGATCATAGATGAAATGCTCCACAATTTAGAGGTGAGTAAATATCAGTTATAAATAAAATGTTTTTGAGACATACACTGGGGAATCAATTAATCAATTAATGAAATAAAATGTTAATAGCAAACATGTATATGGCATTTGCAATGAACCTGGCACTGTAATCCAATTTTTAATGCCAGAGTATGAATTAGATTATTTAGCCCCACCCACCCACCTTTTTCTTAAGCCAGCCTATAATCTTTATATGGGTTAGGGTTTGCTTTTGTGTTTTTAAGCCACTTCTTGATTTTGGAAAGTAGAATTTAAAGGAATCTAAGGTTCTTGTCAATTTACTTTAAACTAAAAATCACCCTGTACTTGGTCTGTTTCAGAAAAATTATGAAATCCTTTGATCCCTTTTCCCTCTGGTCCAGAAGATAAATACCAAATCATTGGCTTATTAGGGATGAGATTTTAAAAAGCAGCCACTTCCTTACTCCTAGCTTCTACTTCAGTTACACACAAAAACAGGGCCAAGGGTGTGTCTCTTCTCTTCTGCATAAAAACAAGAGGCATCTTCTCCCTCTGAGATTTGATTCCTCTCTCAAGGTCTTCAAGGCCCTTTGGGATCACTGACAATGCAGTTACTTATTATTTGGCCTATATTTACACATCATAAATGCCAGTTGCAGAGGAACCGTGATGTTATCTGAAGTCAGCTTTGTCTTTTTATGAACAAACTTTTCCCTGATTTTGACTTGTATGTCCTTCACTTCTTTTCACTGCGCCTTTTCTTGCTACCTCTCCTGCTCTCGACAACTGAACTGCTTGTAATCCCCTCAAAGGAGGCCATATGCTCTACCTCCTTCTTTGCTCCAGGAAGAGAGGAATTCATTATCCTTGCCCCCATGCCCATATACAGACCCCAGTTGGGTCCACAGGACTCAGCCAGTTTTTCTTTTGTGGAGTTCATACAAGTCACTTTGTCACTCTTTCTGCACCATCCTCAGTTCTCTACCAGCTTCCCTATAATCTCTTACTCAGTGACGGGAAAAATGACTGTCCTCCCTTTTCCCACCATCACCATGTGGAATGCCAGTCATCCGTGCAATAATGCTTCCCATAATCTCGCCTCACATGTTCTTTTCCTTTTCTTATTTCAGAGAACTGCCAAACATGCATCAACTTTCAATCCAGTCCAGCAAAACATATGTGAGTTCAGTAAAGAATTGCTGGCCGGGCGCGGTGGCTCAAGCCTGTAATCCCAGCACTTTGGGAGGCCGAGATGGGTGGATCACGAGGTCAGGAGATCGAGACCATCCTGGCTAACATGGTGAAACCCCGTCTCTACTAAAAAATACAAAAATCTAGCCGGGCAAGGTGGTGGGCGCCTGTAGTCCCAGCTACTTGGGAGGCTGAGGCAGGAGAATGGCATAAACCTGGGAGGCGGAGCTTGCAGTGAGCTGAGATCCCAGCCTGGGCGACAGAGCAAGACTCCGTCTCAAAAAAAAAAAAAAAAAAAAGAATTGCTGACTTACTGACCTGGATTTGAACCTGAAATTTCTCCCTCTGTTTTGTTCCTTGTAATATGCCAGAATGTATCTGTGTTGCTTTTATTGCTTAAAAAAAAAAAAAAAAATAGCAGTATTATTTCCTTATTGAAAAATAATTCAAATTTGTAGAGATGTATAAATGTTAACAATTATGAATTCCTGATGTCCTTAACTCCAGTGCCCTCCACCTGCAACGCACCTCAGTCACTTAGCAAGAACCCTAAAACACTTGCTTATCCTTCACCATGGCTCAAAATTAAAGATGCCACTCCCCCAAATATCCTCTGTGACCATCATCAACTGTCCTTCCTCCTCACTCAATTGCTTGCCAGTCCTAAAGGCGTTTCTATTTTTATTTTCACCACCAGTCACACTATGATCTTCTATTCTCCTTTTCTATCACATCTGTCAGACTTGGCATATTATTAACCACTTCACAAACATATTCACTACCACCCTAGGATGGCTCCTGTATTCATCATTTATCATACTGCTATAAAGAACTGCCTGAGACTGCATAATTTATAAAGGAAAGAGGTTTAATTGACTCACAGTTCAGCATGTCTGAGGAGGACTCAGGAAACTTACAATCATGGTGGAAGGTGACGGGGAAGCAAGGCACCTTCTTCACAAGGTGGCAGGAAGGAGAATGAATGCAGGAGGAACTACCAAACTCTTATAAAACCATCTGATCTCCTGAGAACTCACTGTCATGACAACAGCACGGGGAAACCACCCCCATGACTCAATTACCTCCACCTGGTCTCTCCCTTAACATGTGGGGATTATGGGGATTACAATTCAAGATAAGACTTTGGGTGGGGACACAGCCAAACCATATCAGCTCCATCCTTTTATTTCTCCTGTTCCACCTTGCCAAGTCTGCAGCCTTCAAGAGTGGTTGCAAACTGTTATTGGAGAAAATTGTGAAACGGTTTTAACTGGATCCACCCCGAATCTGTTCTTTGTTGGGTTTACTGATACTCACTGCTTTCCTTTACTTTTAATCAATCCATCATCGCACTTCCCAGAGACTTTTCTATCTCTCTTATTCTGCATGAGGCCCTGATTCTGTTCAGCTCCCCACTCAAAGCAGATGACTTTATTTCCTGTTTTACTGAGTCATATTCTCTCACATTTGATAACTTCAAATTAGTTTATTTCCACTTCAACATCTCTGTGTATCTTTCCTCTTTTTCTTCCTCCTCCCTTAAATCTGAGGTTTATCCCTCAGGCATTGCTCCTGATTCAAGTTCCTTCTTCCACCTGGGAACTGTGCTCCTCCATCAGTTACCTCATTTCTGTCACATCTTCCATCTTTCCTTCTGAGTTCATGTCTCAGCTTTTGTCTACATAACCTTCTCTAAGGAAACCCTTACTTATTCTAAAGTCTCATCATTTTCCAAACTCTCTTCCATTCCCACTATCAGATGCTTTGAAATTGTAGTTAAACCAATCACATCCACTAGGTTTGCACCAACACTTCTTACTTAACATCTTCCAATATGTAATTGTCCCTCAGTCCCTCCAACTAAAGTCCTCCTAAGGTCATCAGTGATTTCCGAGTTACTAAGTCTCCCCACCAATTATTCCCCCAATCAATTCTCTGCTGCAGAACTCACTGCTGACATGGAACATTCTCTCTCTTTACTCCCTAATGCAGCACTGTTTTGATCTCCTCCTGTGATTTAGTCTGTTCTCACATTGCTGATAAAGACACACCCAAGACTGGGAAACTTACAAAAAAAAAAAAAGAAGTTTAATGGACTTACAGTTCCATGTGGCTGGGAAGGCCTCACAATCATGGCAGAAGGCAAGGAGGAGCAAGTCACATCTTATAAGGATGGTAGCAGGCAAAGAGAGAGTTTGTGCATGGAAACTCCTCCTTACAAAACCATCAGATCTTGTAAGATTTATTCACTATCACGAGAACAGCAGGGGAAAGACCCACTCCCATGATTCAATTACCTCTCACTGGATCCCTCCCACAACAGGTGGGAATTCAAGATGAGATCTGGGTGGGGACACAGTGAAACAGTATCATCCTGTCACTTTGATCATTTTTTTTTCTGTCTCTGTTACTGGCTCTACTGCTTCCTCTCCCTCCTAAATTCAAGTATTAACACTGGGTCTCCCTCTGTCACTCAGGCTGAAGTGCAATGGTGTGTGTGATCATGGCTCACCGCAACCTCAGCCTCCCAGGCTCAAGCAATCCCCCACCTTAGCCTCCTAGTAGCTGGGACTATAGGTGAGTGCCACCACACCCAGCTAATTTTTTGTACTTTTTGTAGTGATGGAGTCTTGCTATGTTGCCCAGGCTGGTCTCAACCTCCTGGGATCAAGTGATCCACCCGCCTCAGCCTCCCAAAGTGCTGGGATTACAGGTATGAGCCACTGCGCCTGGTTCTCAGACTTTCTATCTCTTTATATTCTCTTTTAAATATCATCAATTTCCATTACTTTGATTATCACTGTGTATGGATGACTCTCAGATCTGAATTGCCAGCACTTATTTTTTCTGAGGACCTGACTTAAATTTTCATTTAGTATCTGAAACCCAAAATATGCCAAACAAGATCTGTCACTTTTTCCCCCAAATCACCAATCCTGTTATCTTCTCTATAACTTCCATATACAAAATGGCATAACTTTTTATACATAATGTGGTATCAGTAGTACAAAAAGTTTGCCCAATCTATGACTAGAGTGATCTTTCCTCTTTTGCCTCATATCTTGTCATTTGCCAAATCCAATGTATTTTACCTTCACATTTTCTTTAGGATCAGACGTCTCCATCTCACACTGTCTTACACTAGGTTCTCCTTCCCTCTTACTATGGCTACTGCAAATATTTCTCCTATTTTTCTTCATTCCATGTTTCCTATTCTGCCAGATTAATTTTTCCCAACTCATTGCATATCACATGACTCACAGCTCCCAGTTCTCTATCAAACTAAGTCCAGACTCCTTAATAAGCATTAAGACTACTTACTTATCTTTCCAGCATTAACCACTATTATTTCTCTAAACGTTTCCAATGTTCAGATAAAGTATATCATCTACTTTCCCCAGCTCAGACCTGAAACTTTTCTGCCTTTATGCTTTTGTTGGTGTTTTTTTTTTTTCCCTGCCAAGAATGTCATGCTTTTACATCCTGTAGAAATCCTATCCTTGCTTCAGGACGTGTTTTATTTTACTTTTTTACTTTTTATTTTAGACAGGGTTTCGTTCTGTCACCCAGGCTGGAGTGCAGTGGCCTGATCTCAGTTCACTGCAGCCTTGAAATTCTGGGCTCCAACAACCCTCACACCCCAGCGTCCCAAGTAGCTGGGACCACAAGCATGTGCCACTACGCCTGGCTAACTTTTGTATTTTTTGTCCATATAGTGTCTTGCCATGTTCCCCAGGCTGGTCTCAAATTCCTGAGTTCAAGCAATCTGCCCACCTTGGTCACTGTGCCCAGCCAGGACCTATTTAAAATACACCTTCTTCATGTATCTTTTACTGCTTGGGGCTATAACTTGTCCTCTGATCCCATATATCTTACCTTGATCTGCTCTGCGTCATTACTATTTGTGAATGTGCCACCTTATCACAAATGGTGTGTTGTCCTCACTGTAGATTATGAATGTCTTTATACTATTTTCCAGGTATTTTGCTACGTTCTGCAGGCCCTGCAGATAAAAAGTTTTTCTAATTTCCCTGGGAAATTCAAAACCTTCTTACCCAGAGAAAAAATGTATTTATGTTCCTCATCCCCACTCTCCTATGTAGGTTTCTCATTCACTTAGGAGGTGAGTGAGTTCCTGTTGCCACTCCTTAAAATGTGGAGAACATAGAAAAAGTGGGGCCATCTTTACCACAGTAGCAAGGGGGAGTGTGTTCTCAAATCTTCATGTTGGGATTCTGAATGCAATTTTTTGCTCTAGAGGGCAGACCACAGCCTAGTGATGGCGACAGACCCCAAAGCATCCAGTCACAAGCTGTTTGACAAGAATAGGAGTGTGTGCTGTGGGAGGTATGGGAGGTGTCACCTTCAGGGAGTGGGAGAAGGGAAGAATAGGTCTGATTGCGGATGAAATAATTCAGCTCAGTCAGGTTTTTTTCAGTGTGCCTCATTAATCATTCTGAAATACAAAGTCCGGCACTATGTCTTACCCAAACATTAGGTATAGTCGTGTTGTCTTGCAAGTACTGACTGAAATGTAATAACTCATAGATTACATTTCTGTTTCAGATAGCCTAGTTATAGAGGCCCTTCTCTTTCCTCTTTTCAGTCCTGGGGTTGGTGTACAAGGCCTTTCCTGGCCATACGGCTGCTGGGAAATCTGGGTTCAGAGAGTGGTGATTGAGAGAAATCAAAGAATAGAAAATGAAGAATGGGTGGGTCTGCCACACATAAGCTGAATGACCAAGTCATTTAACTTCTCTTGAGTTTAATTTCCTAAATAAATAAATAAACAAAGGCAGCAGTAGTGCCAACTCTATTTATACAGAAGAGAAATAAACTAATATTTATTAAGTTTATGCTAAGGGCCAGGCATTGTGCCAGCTGACATACGTTTAATTTATTTAATCCTCATGAATAGCCATAAGATAATAGGTAGTATTAATATTCTCATTTTATGTCTGAAGAAACTGAGGCTCAGAAGAATTAAATAACGTCCCCAAGTAACAAGCAGAGTGTCCAGGATAAACCTGTCTGGTCCAAAAGTGTCACTCTTTTCCAT